AGATCTCACCTTAATTTCTGGAATATTTTTTTTTGATGTCGTTCTTATGGTTGAGACTTCCTTATTGAACAGTTAGGCACAGATGGAAGTAAAGTACAAAACTAGGGGCAAACTAGCTTTCCAAATTACCTGCAAACAACAGATCTTATCGCTTTAGCAAGCAGGATTTAGTTTGCAACTAAGCCAACTATTAGTCCATTAAGCATGTGAGAACTCTAAGCTCTCGTGTAGCCAGAGGTACTCTGAGGCTCAATTTAGTTGGCCACGTGAAGGTTTAATGTCATTTCAGATGCCTTTGTTTGTCTGAGACATATGTACAGTTTTTGACATATATGATTCAGGTCATTTAGGAAGTCTTCACCCTTCTGGACTGGCATTTGGAAGTCAAGTGGGATAAAACACCTATAATGATACTGCATGCTCACTTTTAAGCCAGTGAATTGAGTTCCTAGTCAGGAAAGAAGTTGTAACCTAGAGCATACCAGTCTGAACAGCTTTTAGAGCCTAGTTGGCTCCTGACTAACAAGAACGGAAGTTTAACTCTACATGTAGCTACATGTAGATGTCTGTCTGTGTGCAGACACCTAAATGTAGGTGTCAGAAGCTTGTACCGTGTTGTGCTGGAAAAACTCCTGAGGGTTCTGTTAAGTTCTTTCTTTCACCTTATGCAAATTGTCCTAAACTTACTGCTTCTTTATTGACTTACCTTCAGACCTAGGGTAGTATTTCTTCCAACTGCAAGCTTTAGAGTTCTAGACAGGTTCTTTGCTCTTGAATCTCCCCTGAGTAGCTGATTGAGACTGGCTTTTAATAAGCCACTGTGATGTTCATCAAACTTAAAATGGGCATTTCTTGTATTTTTCTTGGTTTTTGCTTATTCCCCAAAATTTAACTTTCCAGATTTCTGATGTTACTAAAATATTTACAAACTTGTTCCTTGTTTTGGTAGAATTTAAGACACTTTTCCTTACAGTTTGAGTTCACTAAACAGCCCTCTCTTGTTCCCTATACCTCTGAGAGAATACACAAATTTCACATTATTATGATAATGTATGATATAAGTATTTTATGCTAATTGTTATATAGTTTTTCTTAATTTCGAGAAGCAAATTACTCAAAGGTAGATTTAAGCAAGGCACTGCTTAGACTTGTTTGCTTCATCTTTTGCAACTTTTTCTTATTCTACTTTTTTTAGGCTTCTCTTTGGAAGTTTGTCTATCACTTTGCCTTCAGATTCCTTTAGGAATAGTTTACTGACACAATTCAATTGGTCTTTGTCTTGTTTGTGCCACAAAAGCACAAAAGCAAAAATATGTTCTGATTATAATCAGCCTTGCAAATTACCCCTAGAGTGAATTTGACTCAAATACTAGAATAATAGTATTTTTAAAATGATGCAGCTATTGCTTTTCATGGTAGTGTCTTGTCTCTATTCTATTTGAATAGCACATGCGCTTGTACCTTTGTTGATTTGGCAAATTAAAGAAAACAGAAATGTTTTAGCAGAAATTACATCTGTAGACATCCTTGCATCTAAATGGCATTGCTGCATCAAAGACAAAACTATAGTTTGCTCTTAATCAGGATTTTCAATGTAGCACATTTTGTTCAGTGTTCGATTGCACCTTTGTTGATGGCTTAAATCAAACCATGTGCCAAATGCCAATTCCTTGCTTAGCTGTCCGTTCATTCTAACACTTTGTCTGCTGGTAACAATGAGGGTTGCTATTCTGATGTAATCAAGCAATGTGGAGTTTCACTTCCTTTGAAATGTTGCCGTAACCTTGCATTATTAGACTTGATATACATTTAATATTAAGTGTGCGACAGTGCTGTCCAGTGAAATGCCTCACTATGTTAACAGGAATACAGGTGTTTGTGTGGAGACTGTTTATATACTGAACTACTGGATTTGAATGGCAGAGCTAACTGAATCAAGAAAATAAGATTGAATGAAAGATTCAATATTACAGAGATAAAGCACAAAAAAAAAAGATGATAGTGTAACAAGTCTCAAATAAGCCAATTAACTCAAAATTAGAGACAGTGAAATTTTTGTCACTGCTGCTGAAGAAAAATACAAAGCGATAAATTCATTGGTAAAGTGGACCCATACTAAAACAAATACAGAAAGGTTTAAGAATAAACAATACAGCCCATATTTAGAGCATAAGAGATGGTGTTATGTAAGGCACTTTTGCACTGAATTTTAACTGCTTAGGTTACCTGTATTCTCCACTATTTGTTGGATCCAAATTACAGACTAGGCTGACCAGATTCTCCACCAAGTTCTTGCACTGCAATTTGGTACAGTTTGTGGGCATAAGGAACACATCTTATGTTCAAAGCCAGGAATGTAGTGTTAGTCTCAGTAAAGTCTTAACCGTCTAAAATTATTATCGCTAGTGCTAACATGTACAGTTGTCTTCTGTTATTCCATGCCTGTAGTCCTCTATGCCACGTTTTTGTTTAGTATTGCTATCTATTAGTTACAGAAATGTATATAACACAGATTTGTACAAGCTACGCAAAATCTAAAACAATTGGAGTAGTAGTCATTCAGTTACTGGGCAATTGCCGTTGTGGCTAAATAAGCCAAAACAGAGGTCCAGTCAGGCTGAGCCAAGTCTCAGCAAAGCCTGACAAGTCCTCAAGCCTGTATTGTTAGCTTAATACAAAGCCTATAGCCTGTTGCTAGTAAAAATAACACCATATTTAGTGGGCTACAAGGCTTTAACCACATTGTGAACAAGATTTTAAAGGTCATAATAGACAAATATTGAATATGAAGAGCTTATTCAGTGTACAGAAATGCTTGATTTGTACAAGAGAGTCTTGATTTCTTCTTTGTTGGGTGCTGTTAAGACAATTACTGGAAGACTTTATTTAATGCACTTTTTAAGAGGTGGTATACCTTAATGTTTTTGTTGCTATATGAGATTTTAGATATAGGTAAGTCCGAAAATGTTTTTTATTTATCTTTCAATATTTCTACCCTTGTGCTTTGGGGTTAGCACCACTTTTTGTTAACATAATATTGAATGATGCTTCAGCAGTATCAAACAAACAAATATTAAAGTAACTTTTAGAAATAGCTTATGTGCAGAAACACAGGGTTCACAAAGGTTTTATTTGTTTTTTTATTTCAACAAATGCAAAATTTGATTAGCAAACTTCTAAGCTTCTAAAAGATTAAACATTCAGCACAAAACTGAATTATAGTTAACCTAGGGAAATAGCACAGATTTTGCAGGGGCAAAAAGTCATAACAGTAGTTCTGATTAACTCTACAAAGATGAGGAATCCACTATAACAGGTTGTTCAGGGAAAAACAATTTTAAAGAAGAATCTTCAAATATGGCAAGGTTTTTCTCAAGGGAACATATGTGTAGTTTCCCAGCTCTCCCATGACAACTTTTTTGTGTTTGTGTGAGAATTTATCTATTGTAGCAAGAAATAAAGTTACTTTATCTTTGAGTTCCTTCAAAACTTTTGGGTGTGACATCTAATTATTTGCTTTGTTTCTTAAGTTATTCTGTCAGCTCTTCAACTTGTTGTAGATCCTGTCTGTCTCCAACTGTTCTACTGTGACAATTCCTTTTAATAATAAGTTGAACATTTGCTTAAGTGTTGCTGTGGCCTTTGTTTTTTCTAAGTACTCTTTTTACATTAGGATATTTTACTGGCCCTGCAGGTTCTCTGATAGGCTTCTTAGTTTTGTTATTTGGGGCAAGGGATGGAGGAGAGACGTATTAATTTCAGATTTTTTTTTTTTTTTTTGCAAGTTGTCCATCATTTTTTTAGCCTCCTTTGATATTTTTTTCTCTCGTTTCAGTGCATTTCGATTTTATAACCTGAATAATTATTGTCTAAGACTGTAGTAAGCTAAAGAAGTCTAGCTTATCATTTTTATGCAGCTGATCTAAAAAAAAAAAAAAGGAATCGAATTTAGCATGCTTTGTGCTATTGTTGTCAATAAAATAAAAACAATCATTTTCTTCATTATTATTATCTGAATCTAGATACTTGCGTGTACTGAGTTCTACAGCAATTTTGAAGGAATATAACTTAATTTCAGTTCTTTATTCAGGTAGGGGGAAGAAGGGAAGCTTACTTACATTACTGTTTTAAAGTTGTTTATTGACACAAGGTATGTTGCAGGGCAGAGTAGCATATGAATAGATGAAATTATGGGAGCTTTTAACAACTGAAGTAGATTCTAGTTGAGCTAGATTTTTAGAACTAGAGAAGGGGATTATGGTTGCTTTTAGTGAACTTTTGGTGAATTTGTAGCAGATAACCATTTTTATTAAGCAGATTTTATCTGTGTCATGGTTTAAGACCAAGTGGCAGTGTGGAAACTAAATGGATTTTTGGTACCTAAATACTCTAGGTCACAGATATGTGCAATTTTATGAATTTCTACGCCATAGTTGTCGTGATATTTGCCTTTGAGGTGAAGTGCTGGTTCCCATCAAGTATTCTATGAAACTCAGTATGTTGAGATCCTGCAATTCTAAGACGGAAGATTGTAAAAAGAAGTCTGTTCTTTAGTTTCAGTTTAATTTGATCAGCATTTAATCAAATATTTTTGAGCATACACACAGACTTCAACCTTTACCATTTTTATTATATCACTAACTTTTTATATATATGTATAAATAAATGTATATTTACACTTTTAAAATTATGTTTTAATTATGTTTAGTTATCCTTATCAAGATATTTATTTTACTATGTACTGAATAAACTTTGTATTTTCATTAAGTGGTAAAATTCAGGGGGATGAGAGGAAATACTCACTTTTTAAGGAAACTTGTGATTAGTGTTTGGTATCTGCAGCTCATGTGACTGATAAGATTAAGTATCTTAGTTATTAGATTACAATGGTGTGATAATTAGGGCTTAATGTGGAGTGTTCTTGAAGTAGTTCATTATGTTCTTTTAACTCTGTACTGAAAGCTAAGAAATGCAATAGTTCATTTTTTTCTCTCTTGTAGGTAGCTTGTATGCAGCTCATCAATGCTCTTGTTACATCTCCTGATGATTTGGATTTTAGGCTTCACATCAGAAACGAGTTTATGCGCAGTGGATTGAAAGAGATATTGCCAGTAAGTGTCTTACAGTCTCTGTTTGCATTACTGTTTAAATTATTGGGCTATTTGAGCTTGTGAGTAGGAATGACAGAACAAGTTCTAATACATTATTCTCAAAGGCATTTTATTAAGTCTGAGTGTGAGGAGTTAGATATATGAGAATTGTCTTAAAATAAGAGTGAAAAGGTGAAGTGTGTTCTCTGAAGTTTATACTGAATCCTCAACCTTTTAAGACTTGAGTGGCTGAGAATATGCAGCAGAATGTTGTGCAGATACTAGTTAAACCAGATTGAAGCCATATTTGTCTTTTGAGTATTTAATTTAACCCATGTGTTCTTGTAATTTTAAACTTTAAAATAAAGCAGACTTATGGAAGTTATTAAAAAGATAAGATTTATTTACTTATGGAAACCCTAATTTTGCCAGCCTTTCTACTGTTTCTTCTTTGCAGCAATTGAAGTGCATAAAGAATGAAGCTCTGGATATTCAGCTGAAAGTGTTCAATGAGCATAAGGAAGAAGACATGATTGAGTTCTCTCATCGCTTAGAAGATATTAGATCTGAACTAGAATATCCTTTCTGGTATTGGCAGGAGAAATATTTTTCAAATAGTATATGTAACGGACATTTTTCTCATGTAACTTTTGCTTAAAAAAGTTACCAGTCAACATTTGAATGAAATTTTTTTTTTCTTACTCTAACTTTCCTTAACTCTTTTACTGAAGTAAATGATGTTTACAACATGGTATGGAATACAGTTAAGGACACTAGTGCTGAAGGATATTTTCTTTCTATTCTCCAACATCTTTTGCTGATAAGAAATGATTATTTTATACGGTATGTTTAATGGTAAATGTGAATTGTAAATTTGGTTATTGTGAAGTCATTGATAGAGTATTTCTTCTACAAAATTTAATGGCAAATAGAGTTTAGTATTTTTCTGTGCAGACTACAATTCACAAATATCCCTTTTGTAAACTCATGGTAAAAGGTATCATCTCTGAATAAGAGATCTATACATTTTTGCCTCTCCTGCTTAGAATACGATTATATATACAACTGGAATATTATTCTTGTCTAAGTAAGAGTATAAGTTATAACAGACTAGAAGTCCTGTCCTGATCTATTGTGGCAGAAGCATTGTAATCTTGTAATGTATGTGAGTCATGATAGAAATAATTATGCACGGAAGTGCGCTTCTTTATGCAAATCTGAACATGTGTTTAATTTAGGGTAAATTGTTCTATTGGGCTTAGCATATTCCCTACATGTTATAAGTTGGTGTGAACAGGTTAGTGTCTCCTGAAAATTTGTCAGATAAATTTTGGGAAAATAGTTAATCTTATATATTTGAGGCTAACAGATGCTTTTTATCCAAAAAGCTTCTTGTATCCTTTTTTTGAAGAGACATTGGGGGAACCGGATATAAACTGGAGAGAGGGGGAAAGCCTGCTGATTTCTGCCTAATCTTTAAAAGTGCTTACCTAACAGGAATATAATTGTGCTAGACCTCTTCCACCTGAAATGGTTTCAATTCACATATTTCACGTTTTGGGCAAGTGATCCAGCCGTCATAACTACTGGGCATTTTAGAACGGCGTGCTTTTCGTTCCTCTTAGTGAAGCAGAGCTGCAATGCATCCATGGTTCAAATAGTCACAAAAGCAGGTCAAACTAAAGGGAGAGCCTAAGAGATTTTCCTTCTCTTGGGAGGAAGCAGGAAGGAGTCTTTTCCTTCTGTAGTTTCACAGAAGGATAGATGCAGAGTTTGTTATATAAAAATGGTTTATCCTTAGGTTCATTGGTTTTAAGGCTTCAACTAAACCATTAGTATACTGCCGGATGTATTTGTCATTCACCAAGAAATCAAACGAGACGTTTGGGGTTTGTGTCTATCCTTCCGTGAGAAAAAACGTCAGTCCAAACATTTTGGTCTTACTGTATGCAGAGACTGGATTTTAAGTATATGCTAATAAATAAATGATCTTATCTCTGCCTTTAGTCCGCAGTATTTCAAATTAATTGAAGAGTGCGTGTCCCAGATAGTGTTGCATCGAAGTGGAACAGACCCAGATTTCACATATCGTAAAAGATTAGATATAAATTTCAGTCACTTAGTAGGTAAGTGCTACTTGGAAATGATTATGGTGGCATATTTTTCTTATATGCTCCAAAACAAAGTTAAAGTTTGTGTATGTGATTAAGAATCCTGTGTTCCTGTGTATGTTCAAGTATGTATTTGTTTGTTTATTTTTTAAGATATTTGTGTGGATAAAGCAAGATTAGAAGAATGTGAAGAGCGGGCTTCAGAACTTTCCAGAAAAGTAAGTAATTCTGAAGTTATGTGATCAGAAGATGGGCACGGGAAATTACAGAATAGCTTCATGAATGTCTAACTGAAAATAGGATAGCATTTAACTTCAGAATCCTAAGATCACTTATGTATCAGTGAAAAGTTGAATGTTTCTTGTGCACTGGGAAGCAGAGAAAATTGATGCGAAGTAGTTGCGATGAATAGAAGGTCCTTCTGCTATTTATTTTTAAATTTCTTGTACAAATCTGTCAAAAATCTACTGAGCGCTTGCACTGAATAGTTTTTATCAGATTCTTCAAGAAGATAAACAGAGAGAATAAATATAGGCTCATTCGTATTTACAGACTGTATTACAAAAGTTACTTTTTTAAAACCAGAGTTCTCTGCCCAATTCCAACTTAAGTTACCTAATTACGTCATGCCGATTCATATAGTAAAGGCTAGTAGAACCGATGGAAATGGTACTTCATTCACCATCAGTGGGTGCATGGGGAAGTTAGACTAGAATAGCAAATATGGTGTATGTTGTATTAATTTTGTTACAAGTGAGTTTAATAGTAAGAATAAAATGAAACATGAAAGGAGAATTTGGAATCTAGAGAAACTATGTAGAAATGGTAGGTTGCAACAATTTTTTTTTCTTTTTAGTTTGAAAAAGATTTTATAGTTCATCAGGAGACCCAGGCCTTACTGCAAAAGAAAGAAGAACGGATCAGTGAACTTGAAGCAGAATTACAGGCTTTTAAATCACAGGTATAAGATAGTTTAATGAATTTATAAAGTGTTGTTGAAATAAACTTCACTTGGTACTTGTTGCATATTCTAATAGTACATTTGAATGTATGGGGTGTTTTTTTTAATGTTTAAAAGAAATCCTCTTATCTATTATTACTGACTTCCAGTTTCCTATTTTCCGTGTTTTATACAAAGAATTGTAATGTGACATTAATTAGCTCTGTGAGTTCCCAGTTGATCCTTCTTGTGCCTGAGCGCTGTTAATTAAACTAGTTTCTTATGTTTCATTTGGGTTTTGCTTTCAGTGTCATATATTTCGAAAGTAATTAACCACATAGGGTAATAAGTCTTATGCTCTTAGATTAGCATTCATCACTGTGATCTTTATCCCTCCACAGGAAATTATTCGTTATATAATTTACTTTGCTGAAGCCTTACCATGGATATCTAGCAGTGAAAGAAATAACCTGTGGCTGTATAAGAACATTTCCTGATAATTTTTCAATTTTCAAGCTTTAATAGATACTTTAAAATATGATGGAGAGAAGAAATGCAGATAAAATACGATGGAGAGAAGAAATGCAGATTTTGAGTGATATTTCAGTCAACTAGTAACTGCTTCAGCTTTAAGATCTGTTTTAAGGAGACTGAGCAAGTGATTTTTCTATTCCTTCCAGTGGGTATAAAAGGCACAATCTAACAATGACTAAAGAAAGACAGCGTTGAGAAATGTATATAGGGAGATGATGACATGTATTTTGACTGTACTCTTACACAATCAAAAAAAAATTTTTTTTCTTAATAGATAAAATTAGTTCAGCTCTGTTTTGGTATATTTAAAAATGTCATTCTGATTCAGATTTCTGGTCGGGATGCACTGTTAATGTCAGAATCAGTCTTTAAAAAAAGGTAATTGTAAAACTTCTCCACACTTTTTTTTTTATTGACAGCTTTATATCATACATTAAGAAAATAGGCTTTTTCAATAAACGTATCCTATCTTTTACTGTTCTGTTATTCACTAGGTTAAACATATATATATATGTATTTTTTTCATGGATATAGATAGTGGGCACGATATATGGTCACACTCACAAATTATTATACCTTGAATTTCCTATGATTAATATTTCTTGGAATACGTTATCAACATCAAATAATTCATTGCTTCAATTTAATACTCAAACCCTTTTAAATCTATCTGAAGAAGACTTTGGTTTCCATTTAGCATCAATTTCTATTTAGCATTACTACTACTGCATGGGATGACCATCTTTCTCCTGGTCTCATTCCTGATTTACTGTTCTGTAGTATTGGTATTCGTTCATATTTACTTTCTTTCATTTATTTACTTTCTTTCATTTAAAGTTCAGTGCCTACTTGTAAGTGTAAAGAACGCCTATGTTCAGCAATTCAAAACAGTAATGCTTCTGGGCATTTATTTCTATTCTTTGATATTCAGTTATTTCCTTTTTACAATACTTCAGTCCTTTGGTCAAAGTATTCCCTCCCACACCTCAAAAATAAAATGGACTATTCCGGTTCATAATTTTCAGTTGAATAAGTTGATAATAGCACTAGTAGATAAAAACTTCTTATTTTACTCTTTTTTTTTGTTAAATCCCTATTTAATAATGTTTGAAGGCCTATGATAGAAGTTGTTCAAATAGCAGAAGCAAGGGCTTATAGAAGTGCAGATAAAAAAAAAAAAAAATCTCCATGTGGTACAGATGTCCTCACCATAGAGAATAATAAATCAATGCGATATTTTAAAAATTATTAATATAGTTATCAAAACTGCTTGTTTAAGTGCTATACAATATTGTGCTGCTGCTGCATTTTGTATTGACTTTGTTATAAAGGGTAGCGTATGCTGATTTTAAAAAAACGGAATAGCTGTTACTACTTATGTGTCTGCAGACTTCAGGCACCACTACATGTATTAAGCCTTTTTTTTTTTAAGGATTTTTTTCATCGTTCCTTTGCCATTTTAATTCTGCAGAATGGGAATGCTCATCTGTAACAAAATATATATTCTTCAACTTTGTTTGTTTATGTGGTGGCTCCCAAAAGAGAATTACTGACCTAGTCAAATTCTGCTGTCTGTTCTGGATCCTGCTGATACTTCTGTGTTATACAGGACAAACAAGAATACTGGAGGCTTTGATGTTGTTTTTTAATATGAGCTAAACTCTGGTAGTCTAGATAAACTTTCATCAAGATACCTATCAGACACCTTTTAGATCGCGATCTGTGAAGTGTGATAAGTGGGATATAACATCTCAGGTTTTCATTTTTTGCATGCACCTTATGGTCTGAATGTCCACTTAGAATATGGAGATTGGCTCTTATGACAGGTTGTTTATTCAAAGTTATTAATGTGAGTAAGAATATTTTTCCTTATTAGTATGGCTCCTTGCCACCTGGACTTCTGCCATCAACACGTGGAGATGCATCTGTCACTCCACTAGAAGTTGCAGGACCACATCAGTTGCCTCTGCCTCCTCCACCACTGCCTTCTAATGGAGCAATCCCACCACCACCACCGCCTCCTCCCCCTCCTCTTCCACCATCTTTAAATGGCTTGGGAATTCCTCCAGCTTTTGGTGCTCCTCCTCCACCACCACTTCCACCAGGCCTGCCTGGAGCACAGCGGTCTCCACCTCCACATGCTTTGCCATTTGGACTGAAGCCTAAAAAAGAGTTCAGGCCTGAGGTTACCATGAAAAGACTCAACTGGTCCAAGGTAAGCCTGATTAATGGAAAATTTCTGATGTAAAATCTAACATATAACTTAAGGTAAATATAACTTACGGTTGTCAGGAAAAAGACGTTTCCAGCAATTGATTAATTAAAATTATGTAAGAACGCATATGAAGGCTTTGTGCCTTTACATTAGTTTAATTGTTTTTTGAAAATTACATTACACTGACTTGAAAATCATCTGGGCAGGTGATCTGTTGACTTCCTGAAATGTCTGGATAACTCAGCTCTGGTCAAGAAATAATACAACCATGATACCCGCTTGCTTCCTGGGTCCGGCTGCACCTGGTCTTATAGCAAACTGCTTACATTGGATCAGTCACTGCAATGTCCTGATAGTTTCAAGACAAGTGTCTTGCATCTGTGCAACAATCTAGCCTGGCCTGTGGGAAGAAGCGCTGCAGGTCTCTCCACTTGTGCCCTATGTGGATATACTCCTATAAAATTAATGCTTAAAAAATATAGCGTTCGTCTAGTCTTTTCTTCTCTGCAACAGTCACTGGAGTTTTGGAAACTATAGCTATTTAGCCTGAAATAAGTCAATTTAAAGAGCTTGAGTTTTATGATGTGATCAAAGCCTCAATTTAAAAAATGCAGTGTATAGTAGGACCAGATGTGTTAAGAGACTATTTAAAACTTAGTCAAGTTTAAAATCTAGACCAAAAAAGGGTTTGCTGTGTTTAGACCTTGGGTCTAAAACAGAGTATTTGCCAGTATTGCTTTATATTGTCAGAATCATTTTGTCTAAAAGTACTTACTGTAAGCTTTCTCTTGAATCAGAAGCATTTTACCATTTCTAAAGATGAGTTGTGTACCCGTACCAACACTTCATGTGTTTTACAGACCTCAGAAATATTTCATTTGCTCTGGATTCTACAGTTACCCATGTTCCATAGGTTTATTTTAAAATTTAAAAGTTATATCAAAACACAAAAATGATCAAAACTCTGTATTAATATGTAACCTTAAAAGAATATAATTAATAGAAGTTTGTTCTGTTTCTTGCTTATAGATCAGGCCACAAGAAATGACAGAATCCTGTTTTTGGGTCAAGGCAGAAGAGGACAAATACGAGAACGCTGACATGCTTTGCAAATTGGAACTTACTTTTTGTTGTCAAAAGAAGGGTAAGTAACTAATTACTTTAATTTTCAGCTTTTATAGATGTCTTTTAAATACTTGGGTAAAGAATTCTGTATGTAACATTAATGTTCTTGTTTTTAAAAGGAGTGTGTGTGGGGAAAAAAATGAAAATCCCAAGCTACTTAAAGAAATAATATTCAGCTGTTTTACTAACAAAACAATAAAAAAAGTGTGACTCATAAGGGAAATTTTACCAAAAAAGACAGGAAATGTTTCTTGTAGTTCTGACTTTTATTTGGTCACATTTGAGAAATCATTTATAAAATGTTGACAGAGTACCTTAATGAAATACTTTGACCCAGTCTAGAAGGTGATATGTTTATCCTCAGAATACATGTGATAATTGATGTGCTTTGGTTCCCTGGAGGAGAATGGTCTTTTTAATGAGACTTTTTACTTTCTGATAAATGTGTAATGACATAGCTCTCCCCTGACAATTTGCTTAATTTCTTCCTGGATCAACTTTTACAGCCTTGTGGAAGAGCAAACTCTTTAAAGTATTCCTGTCTTTAAATCTCTTCTTCCTTTCTGGAAGTAAGTAGCTGCATTAGTAGTTTAGGTTACTTCTATCCGATATTTAAAATGTTCATATTTCCACTTTTATTTCTTGAGACTTTTTTCCCTTGGGACTTACTGCTTTGGAACTGCCAAAAGGTTACAAAGGATTCCTTTTCAGATTTTCAGTTTTCCAAACTGAAAAGAAATTATTGTACGTATTTTTTTAAAAAAATAATTCATGCACTATATTACATATTTCATTTTAGAGTTCTCAAACCACCCTCCTTTTTCCCCCCATGCTTTGGTATCTTATCGTGTGTGGGTTTTTTTGACATAATCAAGAACTCTTCTGCTTTTGGCAAAGTAGAATTTTTGTGTTTAAATTGCTCTACCTGTATTTTTACTGAGAAGAGAGTTACAATTTGTTAATACATAATAAAATTAAAAATGTTATGCAAAGAACAAAAAGGCAAGAAAACCTCATAGACCATAAACATTTTTGTCTGAATGTATTAGAAAAGTCTGAAAGACAGTTGTAGTGACTTTATAGCATTAAGAAAAATTCCTAAGAAAGTTCCCTGAATTAATAGGGTGAAGAGTTTAAAAGACACTGGAGGAAGTACTGTTTCCTATGTGTAATTAAACAGTAAAACTTGGGAGACAGGATGTTCATGCCAAACATGTTAATATCTCAGAAGAGGATTGTGAATCTCCACAGACAGCAATAACATTGGGAATTAATGAGATTAACATCCTGTCAAAGTTTGACTGAATGGACTGTATACATTGTTTTGCCAAAACCTAACAAAGAGAGTTAGTGGATCTAGGGTTTAAAAATCTTATAATCCTCTACTCCAGATGGGGCAGGGAATAAAAATACTGTAGCCTGAGGAACTTTTTTTAAATTTTTGAAATTATTGTCACCTGGGTAACACAAGAATGTGCCATCACCTTCAGTTTCTGAAGGAGATGGAGGCAGTAAATACTGTGTTTAGACGAGTAAGTAGGTGTCTAAATGGCAACATGAAACTAAATTTTAGCTTCAAGTGAGTGGTTCACAAAAAAATTACATGAATGCTTAAACACATAAGGAGACACCACTGGGTATGTTGATGTCTGTCGTATTAACAACATGAATTTGAGTACAAAGAAGAACACAGCAACTGTTTTTGTTCTCAGGACCATGGAGAGAGGAGATGCATCTTGGTAGTTATGTATAACTTGTTAGTTATGACACCACTTGCGGAGGAAATTAGATACCTACATTTTCTACCCTTCTCAGTTTTGAAGAGATTTAGCACCAAGCTTTCTAATTCAGAATCATAACGCTATTCACTGAACTGAATTTCGGAACAGTTCTAGACTGTTCTAAAAAGCTCTAAAGTTTTGTCTCTGACAGCAGAAAATCAAGAGAATTTTTTAAATGATTCTATAGCCAAATGATGGGATGGAGTGAATGGTGAGAATGGTCTGGTTTCTACTATGCTGAAGGGTCTGCTTATGCATTCTTTTCATTGAAGCCATTGTATAAAAAGGGGTATCTAGTTGAGGAAGCAGGGACCAGAATGTTCAATGATGCTTTAAGTGAATTTTATTCTAAGTAAAATTAGATTGAAGTACTTACATGTTCAGTTGCTGCGTATTACCAGCTGATATTCCAAAAGTATTTCAGCTTTGATCCAGAAGAGGAAGTCTTATGTGTACGTACATAATGCACTGACGAATTTTTACTAGAAAATAGTGTAGAACAGCGTAGAATAGATTTGAAGCTTTAGCAGATGTTTGTATAGAAGTTATGAGTGATGCTGATTCTGAATAGAAATTGAAGATGTGATAGAGGCATGAAAAAAACATTACTGCAAGTACAAAGTAAAATGAGAAGCTAGTTTCAAACTGTAGGAAAAACAGCTAACAGTAACATGAAGCAAAGATTATATGTGTTCATAATTACTCTCCTTGACAATGTCAGGAAGGTCAAGGAGATATTCATACAATTGTAGAATTATTTAGGTTGGAAGGGATCTCTGGAGGTCATCTGGTTCAACCCCTGCTTAAAGCAGAGCCAGCCTAGCTCATGTTGCCTGGGGCTTTTTCCTGCTG